TCCTCCTCCTTCTTCTCCCTCTTCTTCTTCTCCTCCTTCTCCTTCTTCTTCTCCTCCTTCTTCTTCTCCTCCTTCTTCTTCTTCTTCTTCTTCTCCCTTTCTCCTTCTTCTTCTTCTCCCTTTCTCCTTCTTCTCCTTCTTCTCCTCCTTCTCCTTCTTCTCCTTCTTCTCCTCCTTCTTCTCCTTCTCCTTCTTCTCCTCCTTCTTCTTCTCCTTCTTCTTCTTCTCCTTCTTCTTCTTCTTCCACTTCTACTTCCTTTTCCCCATTTTTACGTTTCATTAATACAATGGCTGAATCCTGAAGTGTTGTTTCATTTCAGGGTTTTGCAGGACAGCCTTTTATTCGTATTTCCCGTGCAATAGCATGGATATATAGTGGATACATGGAGGTGTAAATACAGATATCTGTAGATATTTGGACAGCTGTATTCTTTTCTAGATTTTCTTCTTCTTCCATATCTTCTTCTTCTTCTCCTTCTTCTTCCACTTCTTCCATATCTTCTTCTTCTTCCATATCATCTTCTTCTTCTTCTTCCACTTCTTGTTCCATTTCTTCTTCTTCTTCTTCCTCCATATCTTCTTCTTTTTCTACTCCCTCGGGCATTAGACCTGTTAGTTCGTTGCGACTCATTGATCGCTCCATCTTCTTTTGGGTCTGCCAATGCTTTTCCTTTGAGGTGTGTAAAAGAGGAGTTGCTTAGGTAAATTATTATTTTCCAATCCTTAAAACAAGGTCTTTCCATTTCTTTCTATATTCTTTGATTTTGTTGGTTAGATTGTAAATTCCAAGGTTCTCCTGGATGGTCTTGTTTTTCAATCAACCTCTTCTTGCTACTCCTAGGATCGATCTTAAAAGTCTCATTTCAGTACCTAGTACTTTGTTATAGAATTTAGAATTTATAACCCATTTTTAACTTTGATTTAGGCCACAAGGCACTGCCTAAACTTTGTAAAATTTTAGAAATGTGTCTTCATAATTACCACACGGTCCTTTCAATGGTGCCATACTTGAACTTTGCTGTTGTATACAATTCATACAGAGCTCTCCGTAGATTTTCTTCCTTATCAGCAACTAAAACCTGGTTGTCTGCCAATAACAGGGTGCTAATAAAATTTGTGCCTTTGAAGTTGTCTTCAATATTAAAAAGTACAAGCTGTTGCTTCCATTTTCTTATTTTGTTGTCAAGATATATATTTAAAAGTATTGGGAAAATACAACATCCTTCTCTAACCTCTTTGTCAGTAGTTTCTTCCAAAAGGTGCCCTGATTTTAGTGTTACATTAATCCTTGTATACATATTGTGGGTACCTCTAATTAGATGTAGTGTTTTTTCTCCTTTACCCCTTTTCTCCAGTACATTCCACAATTCACTTCTACTAATGCTATCAAATGTTTTTCTGTTACCAATAAAAAGAATTCTAGGACTTCAAATTTTATTGTAGATTTTCTAGTCCATGAATTTCCAAAATTTCCCTTTTTTTTATTGTTATATTGTTTTATGATGTTTAGTCTGTGTTAGTTCTATCGTTTCATCTTTTTTTGTCAATACTGTCACTGATTTATTTAATTTCCTATTTGAGCAGTTTACTTTCAGTCCAATTATTCTGAAGGATCTAGTTCATTTCCTTAAATTTCTCATTCATTGAAGAGAGTATTCTTCCACATAGGTCTTTCATGGATCATCATTGTCATTATCAGCCATTTCTTCTAGCAATACATTATTTTACATGAATTCTCATGTAGATATGTTACTTTCTATGTACAATTACTTAATTACACATCATAATCTCATACTTTTGTATACAACAGAAATATATTTAGTATTTAATTGTGAGTGTACTTTAGTACCTATGTACCCATATTAAATATTTTATTATATATATAAATAAACAAAAAATAAAATTATTATTTTTATATGTGGAAAAAAAATAATGAATCATTTTGCTTTGTTAATTAGCATCTTATGATATTAGCTGTGCTTACTTGTATTTTTAAGGAAGAATTCATAAGACTTATTTAGCCATTAAGGTGTTTATCAATGTTATTGTAAGTCTTCTTTAGGAAAAAGTACCTATTGTACACAAGTATGACACACACACACAACCCACATCTCAATTAGGTTTTTGTCCTGTTTCCCTGATCCTTGAGCAAATGTTGATATGGCCCCTTGTTTTACTTCTGGAAATAAATGTAACTTCAAAAGCAGTTAAAAACTGTGTGTGATGTGCTGTGAGGAGAACTTTTGATGTAAATAAATTTTTTTTAAATGAAAATCAACTAGGTTTATTTATGATATGTTTGTATTGTAATATTAAATGTGTTGTAAGCATTTAAATTGTCTAGGAATATATTATAGGGGTATTGACCTAATAATATATTATGCCTCTTTTGGGCACAGTTGTTGAAGAATAGTATGCAACCAATTTAATTTCCTAGTATTACACTAATGGATATTTAATTGCATTTACAAATACTTTTTCCCTTTAAGAGTTCCCTTTTTACAAACAATTGTTTGTTGCATATCCAGCCTTGGTGATGAAAGAATACAAAGTAATTTGAATAGTCTCCACAATTTCATTCTTTCAACCTTTGCTATTTATGTAACATTTCTCTTTTAAAGTTTGAAAGTCCTGAGGGGTCCATGTTTCTGGTGCATGATCCAAGAAAGTTATTGCATAATTTCAAACTGAGTGTACGTTTGGGAAAAATAAGTCCACAGTGGAATTTTTATTGAGAATTTTTTAAGCATAACTCATTATTAAGAGTTTTAGTTTATCGTAGCCAATGTGGATTTTCCATTTTTAATTATTTCATATGAATATCCCACAAAATTTTGTTTCTGGAGCTGTTCTGATATTTTTACCATCATCTTTAGGTTGCAGCAGATGTAGGACTTATTATGTGGATTGTCAAAAGATGTAGTTGCTATTTTGTCAGTGTTTACATCTTGTTTGTTACATGAACACGAATTGTTGAATTGCTATAATAATGTTTTGGTAGTATCCATCCTAAGTCTCAGGTGCTTTGGATTTAAATATAATATTAGTAATATCCGCAAAAGGAAGATTTCTAGAATTACCCTTAGCTTATCATATCATTAACATATACTAAGAATAACAATGGACCCAGTGTTGAACTTTGCAGAAACAAATAACCCATACTTCATTAATGATTCATATGAGATGTTACTGCTTGTTTATCATTAATTATTTTGAAGATTTTATTCTACTTTTCTGCACAGTTGTTGTGTGCTTCATAGCATTCCATGTGGCCTTCATATTGTTGTTTGATTCAGCTATGCATTGAGTAGTTGCAAGCTTCTTTACAAAACTTATTTCTTAGTTGATAAATGCTCTGAATTTTTTTATAATTTTGGGAGAGCACAATACTGTTTTGTGAGAATACATAGATTTTTCATTCTTTTGCAATAAATGTTTATACCTTTCATTATCCAGATTTTGAATTTACTACATGAACTTACTTTCTTTAACCAAAGGGGGAAAGATTAATTAAAATGGAAGGATAATGTTGGAAAAATCTGTGAGGATATCATCTACTTTTGTCTTGTTCATGTCTTCAAACTGTTTCTCCTGATACCAGATGATGTACAAACCTATTTATGTTTTTATTGCCGTAGTTTCTATAGGTACGGTAGTATGCTTCATGTTCCTTTGGATGTGTGTTGTAGGAAATTAGTTGGAGTAAATTTGCTCAAACTTTGCTAAATCTTGTTTCAAAAACAAACTTCCAATATATGTGTTTAAATTTATCTACAATTATTTGATCTATGGCTGTTTTTGACTTTGGGAATTGCATATTGGAACTCTGAGGAAAGTCGATATTAAAATCTCCACTCAGTGTAATAGAGTAATTCTTTTGTTTACTCAGATGTTTAAGAATGATTGAAAAGTAAACAATAATAAAGAATCATTTAGAAAATATATTAGAAAATCACTGAGTGGAAGAGGAGAATATGAAACATGAATGACCATAAGAGTAATTTGAAAGTTATAATACCATCAAATTACACTCAGAAATGCAAACAAATCAAATACTAAAGCATGAAAGTGCAAGGAAAGCAGGGCTAATAGAAGGTTAAAATTTTTCAATGTTGAAACCACTTGCTAACAGTTACATAAAAAGCGAAAGAACATACCAAAATATGTAAAAGTGAGCAAATAATTCTTTGCACTACAAATTACAAAATTTAGGTACCAAATCAGGCAAATTACACTGGAGACTAGGACTTCAGGAACATCCTAATCAATCCTTAGTGATAAGTTTCTTGTTTTTATCTTTTTTTATATCTAAATAACAAATGTCACTTTCTGCAATTTTAATAATAACAAATAATAATAATAATAATAATAATAATAATAATAATAATAATAATAATAATAATAATAATAATATTCATTATTGTTATTATTATTATTATTATTATTATTATTATTATTATTATTATTATTATTGTTGTTATTATTATTATTAAATGTTATTATAGTTTGGTATGCAAACTAAATTTGATTCAACAAGATAAATTATTTTATTAAATTCCCTAAAAATGTTAAGTTTTCTTAAATGATCATGTCTTTTGTGCCATTTATTTTGTTTACAGAATTGAAAAATTGAAGTAATTCAAATGAGCAAAGACTTCTTTTTGAACCTGCTTCCTTTTGAACCTGAAACTAAGGATATGAAATCATGAATTGTAAACTTGCAAAAAATAAAATAGAACTGGCACAAGGACAGAAGGATTGTTTAATAGAATGACAGGAGTGTTGTTGGAATTGCTGCCATTAGAAAAAAACACATTTGTTCTTTTAAACAAAGGTATTGCATATCCTAATTGCTGTTAATCGAGAAAAATTTTTCAGGAACTTTTTACAAGACATCTGAAGTTAAGAACCAAATCACATCAGAATTGAAAGTGAAAATAATATTTGTTCTCAAGAAATTAAAATAACAGTATTATTCTGAATGCACAAAGGTAACTTACGTTGCATCACAGCTTCGAGGTGAAATATCATTTTTGTAGAGTTTTGCTCTTTCCTGCATCACATGACGTGACCCTGAAACAATTTAGTGTTATAATAAAATGATATAAATGTTACAATGGTTACACAATTAAATATTACATATTACTATTGTATATATAAATATAATCATACTATATTTTATGTAGCCTGCATATTAAACAAACATATTTATTGTCATGTATCAAGCAGATATCTCAGAGCATTTGCTTACCTATTATTTGTGTAACCAATTTCATGTTTAATGCAAAGAATATATTAATTTTGAACTCTGGTAGGAAGTAAATCTTTGAACATAAATAAAATTAGAAATATTAATGATATTGTATTAATTAATTAATTGTAATTAATGAAAATTTAAATGCGTGAAAGGGCAAAAACGTATGCGAGTCTCTACAAACGTGCTGTATTTCTATTTTAAGAATTTATCTTTGATAAGATGGTTTTAGATACAGAATTTTTCGTACGTAAAACAATATATTTTTAAATACATCCATTGCTTTCGGCCATTCGATTGAAATACCAAAACCAAAGATTGCGTTTTGCTTGTCATTATTGTGAGTAAAAGTGAAAAAGGCTCAAAAGTGGCCTATGCCCTTTAGTTCATGCATCAAAGATATATATTTTATATTAATTATGTTGTATATGTCGTGTTTATATAATTATTGACATCATTAATGTTGTTTCTCTTTTCTAGTGAAACAAGATTGTATTCATACCTTTGAATTTTATTTCATGAGAGTAAGTTTTCGTATCTCAAAAACTTAATCATCGCTTATTGTAGTCCATCACAATATGGATTGAGCAATGATACCAGATTAATATTATAACAGTTTATAACTGTTGAATATTATACATACCGTTATATTATTTCATTGGTATTCAATATTTAGTTGGTACCTAGGTGTTTTATTTCACGTCTCTCGCTTCAATTCACGGTACGGCTAAAATGTATGATATACGATGTTAATCTAGCTACGGTACTTTCTTCACTCGAATAACATCCTATTGATCATTCTCATTATTCCATATATTATTATTTAATAATGACAATATTTTTAATTAAATAGAATAAAATATAAATTTTCAAATAACATTACACCTATAGAAATGTTCGATAAGTTGAAGTTCGGTAAGTGGAGGGCAATGAAACCGATTACCGCGGCAATCCGAAACCTAATCGTTTTTAGAAAAACGTAATTGCGTTTTGGTTGAGTTCCTGGTGGAGAATTATTACAAAGCTCCGGCCCTCCTGCTGTAGTCTTAAAATCTTACCCATTTCCTTGCCCTTCTCTAAAGATATCCAAGACGAGTATCCAAAGTGAGACCGCTTTTACACTGTTCCAAAAATAAACTCATACAACGAAGTTAACCGCTTGTGTTTCTTTGATAATCGATTTTTCCAGACCACACTCACGGCCACAGGCTAAGCTTATGGCGGCACTTCAGTTCTACCAACTTTTACGTCGTTACACACATATTTCATGTGATCATAAATGTGCCCAAGCGGTTCGAACACTATAAAGCAACGGATTAAACCAAGGCCTCCTGCTTGCCGTTTCAGAAGAGGGAGGATGCAGGGAAGCTGGGGACAGACAGGAACGTACTCCTGCCCGTGGTTTTTGGCCTATTAAGTGTTTCGGAAATATTGCATCAGCCAGCTTGAAGGGTGTTTTCGGCAAATGGCAGAGGCCGAAGGTCAGCCTCGTTATTTCATGTTACGCGTACGTGGTGAGGTGAATTGGCAAGTTAAGTTAAGTCAAGTCCGTGTCCGTACCGAGCCACGTTTAACAAAACAACCTTGAATCTGGCCAACGCAACATTGTTTATTCTTGTTAATTAACCTACGTGTTCGTTTTGACGTGGCGCTGTCGTCTTAAAACGGACGGGTTTTTGTATTCAAACGCTGTGTTGCACGCGACAGACGTTTTCAGAGCCGTGGCCGCGCGTTGTACAGTCACAGTGGGATGTACAGCTTTTCTGGGCGGCCTACGCCTTGTTTGGCGCTCTTCCGCCGGGGTGTTCATTGTTGTGGCGCTGTTGGAGGGAGAGCCCTGCTCCGCATGCGAGAATGCGGGGCCTTGGAAACAACTCTCAATACGTTGATATTAGTGATTGTTGCGCGATTTGACTCGCGGCGGATTGCTTTGTGCGTTGGTAACGGGAAGAAGGCGGAATAGATGTGGTGGTTTTTCGGTTGATGTTGGGGCTTGATTGTGGGAGTTGTAGGATGCGAATTTTGTTTTTGATGGGTTAGATTGTGGTGGGTGGTTTATGTAATTTTCGGAGTTGGGTTGTTTAGGTTAGGGTGGCTGAAGGCAGCGGGCGTCTGTTGGGAAATGTTTGCGCCCTACTGCTGGTAGTTTGTTGTAGTATTGCATGAATTTCAGAAATACAGTCTTAAGTTCGGGATTGGCTGCGCGTTGCAGGGATTGCGGGGCGAAGGGTCTCGTCTCCCCTCCTTCCATTGCCACGGCCGCGTGTGGACGGGGAAAAAACGGTCTTGGGTACTGCGTTATCTCCCCGTTTCGCCGAACGCTGAGCCGAACCGTCATTGCCCACAGCTCCAGGCTTCCGAGAAACGTTTGAAGATAATCTCCTAGATTAGAAATGGCGTCTCTTTTATTACCCGAATTATTCACTATCTGCACTACGTGCAACAACTGGCTATTGCTGATTTAAGCTCGATCGATTTCGTAGAGACTAGACACGAATGAATGTTACTCTCTAGGCAGTGACAGTTAATCAAGCCCCAATCACTAGTAGACTACATCCCGGGATTTCTCCCACTATTATCCAGCTGTCTAGTTTTTCAGCGTTTTGAATGTGTGTTTTGGTTCAAGTCCTACGGTGGACATGATTATCGGCTGAATGCAGATATTCTGAAATCTCCATTGATTACGTAGCTCTTGCAACAATGGAACACTCTTCTGAATTCTCAACTTGTAAAACGAATTTATATTGTTATTGTTGAAGGCTACAAAAACGATAATCGCGGTTGTTTTCTTGAGCGTGTTTGAAACTTTTATAACAGGCCTATTATTTTAAATTGTGGTGTCTGTAATGATGCTTCTCTGCCAGCTTATATTCTTCATTTTCCACGATTGTAAAAGGAACGACGGATTTTTTTATATAGGGTATTATAGAAACCAAATTTTAATCGTCCTGATCCCAAATTTATTCCTTTCTTGCTAATCGTCCTGATCCCATATTATTGTTCTAAACTCTATAGGTGATGGAAGCCACCATACTGCAACCGGCAAGGATAATGTTGGATGTTTTCATACTCTGCACAGCATTTTCTACATTTATTTTTTATTATATTATACCGTGCGTTATTCCAAGTTGAGTGTGATAACTTTGTGTTGAATGGCTTCTGTTTCGTGATGCAGAAAACCACGTGTCAATCACTTGTTATTTGCTTTGAAATCTATGTACTGACTTCATAATTCATTGGAATTTCTACCATTTAACTCTTTTCTACACCACTGCTGCATCAGGCTTCATTGCTTGTGAACTCTGGTTGAAACTGAGAATTTGCCAAATTTAAAAGGGTGAGACTGACATCAGCCCCTTCTATAGCCTTGTGCAATATCGATGTTTCTGTCATTTCAAGGAAGTTCATTTTAATTAGAGATATTGTTGGCACTACTGTTGGTTATATGTTTAATTCAGCAACCGATGTTGAATGAAGATATTGATGGTGGAACATCGGGGTTTTCCCATGTGTATCCATGGCTTCAAGGTCTCTATAGTTCTATTTTATCGTACCCCATGTAGATGATGTATTTATGGCAGTGACAATACTTCAGGGCCTATTCGGTGACCGATATCGGTAAGGCAGCAATGCCGTAGCGATCTCGGACCGAAGGATCGTGGGTTCGAGTCCCGTCTCGGGTGTGGTTGTATTTGTGCTCGTACTTTCATTCCCCATCATCACCATTTCATTTCATCTATGCACAGGGTCTATAACGTTAAAACCAATAGTAGTCGCTAGTGACCTAGATGTTGATGCGACCTTAAAAAATCAGGAATTCAAAGACATTTTGATAACACTTTTAATCTGTTCTTGAATTCCATCGTAATGCGTTTCTTCACTTCCGAGTGATAAAGGTATTCTCAACAAACAAAACAAATAAGAAATCAAAAATTAAAGAGATTGCCAATATTCAAACTAACATTCTCATTAAAAACGTTTCGAAAAATGGCAGCGCACAAGAAATTCACTACACTCAGGTAGCGTTTACTAAGTCTAAGTGGGATACTTTTCGAGACTGTTCTATTCCAACATATTTACACTTCATTTTATTCTAATCTAATGTTGTCGATGCTTTGCATCACGTATACGAATCGTGACATCAGTTTTCTACGTACTAGGTATACTGATGTTGACTTACGTATGAAACCACATTCCAGTTTCCTATTTCTTTGCATTCCAATTTCTTCGGAGAAAGTTTCGGCGATATTGAGGAGCTGCTTCAACGAACTAACTGTTGACGCAAACAGCTTTTTATCGCGGAGGGAATGGTCCAGGAGTTTTTATGGACTGATGATTTATGTTTTAAGGTTTATTGATATGAATAAGCTATTGTTAAAATACTAGTTATAACCAACGTTTCGAGATTATGTTTGATCTCATTTTCAAGGCTAAAATAAACAATAAATTAAAAGACTCAAAATCTTTGTATGCAATGCCCGTATCTCAAGAAACATTAAAAAGAGTGTTCGATAATAAATGTAAAAGGGTAACGCTTTACCTTCAAAATTCTGGTAAACATTTTCAACACATTATAATTACAACAAGATATTTATGGAAACTAAAAATTATACTGTTTATTTCAAATGCTTTTTATTGTAGTGTCAGTATATTTTTCCTCGCTGCGTTTCATGTTTCACATCACACTCCTTTGCTGCTGTTGCGTAACGGGCCAGGGCGAAACCGCCGCCGCTGATCCAGTCTCCATTGTTGCCGTCTCCGCATAAAGGATGCTGGAGGGGGGCGACAGCCACTGCGGAGAAACTTTTCGAACACACTA